CTCGTTGCTCGAGGACCTGACTGAGCCCGGCTGGCCCTGAATCGCTGCTCCTGTGACCCTGGTCAATTTCTTATCGAAATCAGCCATTTTCCGGACAGTAGAATTTCTAATTGCCGAGGTACGAATTGAAAAAAAGATCCGATTTTTATTAGATAGCATTTTAGTAGAAAATGTTTAACGTGAGTGTCTACTAGTGTTGTCCTGATTAATCGATTTAATCGAGTATCACTTGTTTGAGATGTTTGATCAATCAATCGATTTAATCGAGTATCACTTGTTTGAGATGTTTGATCAATCAATCGATTAAGAAATCTGTAATCGATCATCGTGATGTATGAAAAGAGATTATTTCAACATTGAAATCATTTTCAACATTGATAAAATTATTTTTAAAAAAAAACGACATTTGTTTATATTAAAAAGTATTCTGTGCACTAAACGAATAACAAGCACACAAAAAGATGGTGTGGGTACAACAGTTTTAGTAATTACGTGAATTGCTGTTACACATTACACAAATACGTATTCAGACTTGAATAATATCCAAAAACAGACAATTAAGAATTAATGAATTTTAATCGATCATCGATCGGTTACACGGTTTATATGATCGCCTGATAGCTCATATCTTTCATAGCATGCTAGTAAAGGGAAATAATACGAGTTACTTCCCTTCGGTCACTCACTATCCACACGGTGGTTCTATGCCTGGCCCCAATCTCTACTCTGTCGTGATGAAATCCGGTTAGCAGGCGACATAAACCGTGTGGTCACTTCTGGTGGTCACTCCAGAGCCCGTTTACAAAGTGGTCATTCTACATTCTTGTCTCTGGTGGCATACTATAGCCCATATATCAAGTGGTGCTTCCGCAACTTATAGTTTGAATGTATGGCAATACCTGTGCTTATATCTACTTATATATGAGACGGTAATTCTACAATAATGCTTGTATCTATACAATGAAATATCCGTCGGCAATCTATAAAATAGGTGAAAATTATGGAGATTTCCAAATAGCAAAAAGATAAATCAGATGATTACGTAGTCCGTACATCACGTGGTCATTATGGAGTCCATACATCACGTGGTCATTATTGAGTCCATACATCACGTGGTCATTATGGAGTTCATACATAACGTGGTCATTATGTAGTCATTATGGAGTCATTATGGAGTCCATACATCACGTGGTCATTATGGAGTCCATACATCACGTGGTCATTATGGAGTCCATACATCACGTGGTCCATACATAAGGAGTGAATTGCAGATAGGCTATACTTTGATTACCTTATGTCATCTTCACTAACCGAGTATGTCGCCGGTTCATAACTGTAGGCTTAAGAAAATGGCTATAGTTCAGTTGATGGTTATGAGTAGATTTAGTGATCATCATACATTGTGGTCGTCGTCATCATCCTCATCCTCATCGTCGTCATCCTTATCGTTGTCGTCGTCGTAAGCAGAAAGTAGATTATATTGCGGTGTAGATCACACCTCTGTAAGAATGTCTAACATTTATCTCCTAGGTTTCTTTAATTATAACGTGTTTTCACACAGGAGAACTGTCAATTTCCTGGCATCTTTCTCTTACTCAACGATCGACAATACAAAATTATACGGTCGAGACAAAAGTAAGGCCCAAGTGAAATACACTCCTGGTGAAGAACATTGTACAGACTACGGAATTGCTAGTAAAACGAAATATGCTTTTCTCTTGACTGTCGTATTTCTGACATTTCGTCTTCTTGAATTCGCCCCGCTATGAATCGTCTTTTTCCAACGACATACACGTGAGAGACAACAAGAGAACGCTTGCTGTAAAATATCAATAAATATCTCCATGTTGCTTGTGAGGAATAAAATAAGGAACATTGTTGTTCTGTCGCTCGACAGGCGAAAAAATCTCTTCGTTCTGTTGAGCCACATGGCTGAAATGGCATTATTTGTTTTTACGCTATGAAATGACGACGATCCTTGTAATTCGTTCATCGAGGCGTCAGAACGAATATTGTCGTTATTTTGTAGAAAATGGCGAAAAATCGACGATGATAATTATTTTAGCTCTCAGGAGCGTTAGGGAGAAGTTAATTGTCATTTTGCAACAATACAACAATTCTTACATCATTTCACAGGAGCAGGAATGTGGTTACCAGGCAACGACTAAACGATAAATGTTATGATTTTTCCCGTCGTATGACTGGAGGGAAAATATCATTCCGTTTCACAGAGTGAAAGAAAGCTTAAAATCTGAACAAAATAATGCGCGATATCATGTTTTCGTTATTTTACAAACGTTTCTTCGTCAAGAAATAATGAAATAGTACATATCAGCCATCATCATGACTTAAATGATTTGTGTCAGACATCGAGGAGCTTACCGTGACACGTGACCAAGACTTAAGGTTAAATGTGCATTCGATCCTAAAAACAGTTAGAGATATAAAGTACGAACAAAGAGTGGTTGACATGGAAATCCTGGAATAGTATGCTAAATTATAATGTTTAATAACATAGTTTACGGTGGGTATGTACATAGCCCGCGAGCCGACAATTTGTAGTCAAATACGTTTTTGTTGACAGTCATATTACAATGAACGTTACTTTTAAACATTTAACAGATTCAGAAAACTGGGTACGTGCACACCTTGAACATGTCCCTACAAAGTATGGATACCCCTAAATTCCTTGGTTTTCATCCTGTAAAAGTTTATCTTGGATATCTTTTCTGTATCACCAGTGATGACTGGCAGGTTCTTGGCATCGAAACTGTTTTACCGCATGTTAGAATTAATAGAGTAATTCACAATGACGATGCCCTAGGCTACTCTTTGAGGTCATTTCTCATCAATAACAGATGGTACAATGACACTACCCGCCCTATGTCAGTGTTAGTCTGGCCCAGCTAGATTTATAATCAATGAGAGAATATATCATTGCAAAACAGCCATTACATTACGCATCATTTAGATCTAGGGTCGTAGCGACATTGGCGGACATTTCCGAACTTTGCCGAAAACAGACGACATTATTACCGAAGTTTCTTATGTTGTACCTGCCGGTAAAAGGTCACGTGCTGACCAATTAATTATTTTCTGTATCACATTTACAATCGTTTCATCTGGGATTTTATATTTCACTTAAGTTCGTCCTATATTGGGGAAAATAAATTGTCCTTAACAAGACAGCTTTGTCCATGTACCGCTAGTAAATTTTGGATAGTCAGTGAATAGCACGGTTACCCACAATATCCGAATAAAAGCAACATTCCCTCATCATCCGGATTTCGATACTTATATATTAGTCATATCCAGAACTACATTATCACGATTACCAAGTCGAAACGGGCAAGTGATTGAGTCTGCAGCATTCCGTACACAGATTCATGATAAGCCATGTCCAACCTCTCGCCATCCGGATGTTTGGATCTCCATGGGTATTGTACAGTCCGAAGCTGGCTCTAATTCAATCCGTTATAGTAGTTTGTCCTGTGAAAGGTAATCCCGTTCATTGAAAGGCCAAAAGCCGTAACAGTAGACGTAAGCCCTTAGATAAGAAAATAAATATGAAAGATAATTGACATATTCATCACTTATGTATTACCCGGGACAAATGTAACTAATTAGAGGAACACATACTAGCACAGGGCTTGGGATTCATACTGCTTTAAGTGATCATTTCAATTTTTTTTTGAAATCTATCTCAATCAACGGTGCACTTCATTTGACCGATGGACCGTGTAGATATACCAATCAATAGATAATTTATTGAGAAATCAAATCCATTGATAAATGACTTTATTTATTACATTTGCCTTTATTTATGTTGATAAAGTATGTATGCCTTTGGAAAAATTACGCAATAGAACACGTGATTTTTGAAACGTTTTAGATTTTTTGTGAATATAACATATATTTGTCTGTAATATACAACGTAACTGGCACGTGAGGTGAGAAAATACATGTTTACATGTGTGTTACTTCATAGTCCCGAGGATAACGTCGTGGTCAGTCTGTCCAAATCACTAGCCGTCAGAATGGAGATGTCACTTTCGATTGTCCACTTAATCGACATAAACCTGATTGATACGATAGTATTCTTCCTCCGGCCACTAAGTGGTCAAGTTTGATAGGCATATCCCGGCCATAATGTTCAATGCCAATCTTGCAAACTCATAAACAATGCACCGGTGTCCAGGATAATTTTCCGCTGTTACTATGATTATATATCCTGTGTATTAATCATATATATTACCTGTGTATGTGTGTACAAAACTAAGTCTTATACGACTGATTTCAAAGTACATGTCGCCACAGGTGTAGATTTTTACCTGTCCTAATTTGTAATTAGGTGACAGACACTCGAGAAACTCGCTCACGTTATCAAGGAACAACATAGTTACTTTCGTGTACAAGGTGTTTATTTTTCACCCCCTGGGACCTCCCTCCATACCTGTCAGTAGGTGTGTAAAATATTTCATGGTACGTGTACTCTCTGACTGGAGCTCACGTCACGCGCCACTGATTGTATTAATACGCAGGCTTAAAATAGTTTGTTAGACGGAACCGGTTCTGAAAGGCACAATACAAGGCATTTGCCCGTTTATTGACTCGTCACAGCTTTTACATGTGAATGCTGTGTACGTGAAATTGTGTGTGTGTTCAATACCTGCTCCGGGAGCCCGGATCTCTTCTGTTTGACAACAGTTGGAACCTGTTTACCATCATTTCTGACCAGTCACAAGTCCGTAAGTTTTTCGGACGACATTTTCACAGCGTATGGAGTAATTTTTGTGTCAGATTGTGAGTGTACGTATTATCGACAGTCACCCCACACCTGAGAGTGTTCTATCTTTAGAACACCTGTATTACCGGATGGTGACAGCACAGTAACTTGTAGTGATAACACCAGACATTACAGAGGCTGGACATTCGGTGATGTTTAACTGGACTTAGTTGTGCCCACAGTCGTTTCACGGATATTAAAATAAACATTCAAAATGGTGGTACAACCACAACCCCAGCTACTGGTGAAGAAACGTGTGCTGTATATAGGTAGTTCCGTTCCCCTAGAGACCCAGGATGGGATCGAAGCAATTCAACAGCCCCTGAGGGATCGGTACCCAAGTGGGGACGAGACACAGGTACAAGGTATAGACGCTTACGTGAGTATTCTGTCAACAGGTATACAGTTACAATACATTGATGATGGTAACCTCGTAATATTCTTCCCTATCTCATCATTGACACTGTGCGCTGCAGTGAGACACGTTAAAAACATCAACGCTGGAACTGGCGATATACAGTCCCAATTCCTTTCCCTCTCCAACCCTTTGACCAAGACCGGCAATAATTCTAAAAGCCCAGCCATATTTTCCACGATCACACGTCGTACCAAAGGTAGGAAGATCCTGGAGTGCCATGGCTTTCTGTGTGCTTCCGACCAGGATGCCATGGACCTGGTTCGAGCCACGTCAGTGGTAGACCGGAAGTCCAGAGGACTACCGCCAATGCCGCCTCAGCCAGCCCAGTCAGAGCCCCCACCGACATTTAGGGGCGGAGCTTCTTTCAGGAGTGCCGCTGGACCCCCACCTTCGTTTAGAAACTCGAACGGTACTATGGAAGGACGAGGTACTGCTAGGACCACTAACGGGACGACTAACGGTCATGCCACCACAAATGGAATCCGACTGACACCAGGTGTCGTAAACAAACCACGCGACGCACCTCCGGAGTTTTACGAACCTCCACCTACACAGGGCTACTTTTACAGCAGTGAAAAGGCAGAGGCTAAGACATTTAACATTGAGAAAACAGATAATAAAGAGCCGAACCCGTCCCCTCCAATGTCTGAGCGTGCCCACGCTCCCCAATTTGTGCCACCAACACAACCCCCGGCGCCCGGACCCGCACCAAAACCGATGTACATGCCGGCGGGACAACCCCCGCAGACACCAACGGCTACTGTGCCCCCACCCCCGACACAGCCGGCACCTGTCCCCCCACAAGCCAGACAGCAGATCCCACAACCTGCCCGACAACATATACCGACCATGAGGAGACCTGTTTATATGCATCCCGGTGTTCACCAGCCAATGCCACATCCCTATTTGAGGCATCGGTTCTTCTCTCCACCGCCACGGATGAGACCGCCCCCAGCTCCCTACATGATGCCGCCACCCCCACCTGGGATGGCACCATTTCCTCCCCACATGATGCCACCTGTGTTTGTCCGACGCTCGCGCAAACCAAGGTCACTTTCGTCGAGTTCAAGGTCAAATTCGCGTTCTCCAAGTCCCCAAAAAGAGGACACTCGCTTAAAAAATGGCAACGATTTCGGAAGTGAAAGCTCGATTTCTAACTACCGGCCACGTACCCCTCCACGGGATTACGACGCTCCTCGTCAACGCCTTAGCAGACGGGAGGAGTACGAGAGGAAAAGAGATAGAAGTCGCTACAATAGAGTTCCTGTAGACAATCAAGCAGCGTATTACGTGTACAACTACCCGGGGTATCAGCCGTTCCCATTGCGCTCCTCGTCAGTACCCCCACATCTCCGATATGCCAATAACACAGAAAAGAAGAACAAAAAAGGAAAAAAGAATAAGAAATCGAAGAAAGCAAAGAATGGGCCAGCTAGCCAGTTCTCTATGCATAGTTACGGGTACGCCTCCGAGATACCCCAGGGGAACACATACCAAGGATGGGAAGGCTTCGATAACCCCGAACCAGTTCGCAAACCTAGGGATTTTAGACGCGAGGAGAATCAATTCATGAACGAAAAGAATTTTTCAAAGAGTATAAAAGCAGAAACGAGACAATCGGAGGCCAGAGACTATCCCACAGCTTATGATCTGAACGAGCCTGCGCCACGGCCACCCACTGTACATGATGACAGTAAGGACGAAGATATTGGAGATTTCACGATGTACTAAATATAGTATCACAGTGTCAGTGCATATCAAAAACGGTTTCGTGTTTAAATCGACCAGTTCGTCTACTATAACAATACCAGCACATTAAGGATGCGGATTAACGAGTATTCCGATTTAAAGCAGTTCTGATTTGGGATTATTCGATCAAATACGATACTTTCGGATAACTGAGAATCAGTGTTCGGATTAATGCAGTTTCATGTGCACATATATCAGTGATTCAGTGGTGGACTTGAAAAACGGAACAATCCGATTGGTCAATATAGTGCTATATGAATGTAGAAGATTCTGTTTCTCATCCTGGCAACCACATGCACATCTTTAAACGTGACAGACGAGAGGAAGCAGAGAAATTCGATAGCAATAGTGAGTCAAATGTTATTTTCTGGATGGCTTCCTGGTTTGCTTTGACGCAAAATCAGTCAGTCGCCTCATGGAAAAGAAATAATGAGAGATTGAGTGTGAGATTTGAACTTTAGCCCAAGTATCAGCTGACCCTAACAGCTTTAAAAAAGGGTCGGGGTTAACACTTCTGGATACTCAGTTCGGTGTCGGGGTCAGTTGATACTCTGGACCATATATTTTACCAGTGGTTGAAAAAGTGTGCTTGAAAATATTCTTGATGAGCTTTTGTTCGGTGTAGTTTGATCGGTATGTAAATGTTCCATTAGTTACACAGTGAACGTAATGGTTAAACTTAACACTCGTATCCATTTACTGAAAGCAATACACATGTAAATTTCTTTGTATATAGTCAATTTGTTGTTGTTACATTAAGTTTTTTTCCGCTGTTAAACTTGTTCTGGTTATACATTCTCCTGTTCACTGTATCTATTAATACTTTTTATATATATATTTCTTTAACGCGTGGTAAAACCCGTTTGCCCACAATTTTACGGCAGATTTTGCTCGGGTACACCCGGGTGTTTGTAACTGCAGGTATACAACATTGGATTGATCTATCCCGCTACCTTCTGAAAACCTCTATATATTGGTGTTTGTACATTCACATTGGCTGTGTTTTTGTAGTGTTATATGTTGTAGGTTTGGACCATGATTATGACTGAGATATATGCATAGAAATATGGGTCTACTACTGAGTACACCCTAGAATGTCAATGAGGTTGAATTGGCGTTCTTGTTGGGCAGTCAGGCGTATCACTATTTAAACGATCCAATCGGAGGAGTTTGAATAACATGTTATATAATTAAAACACCAGATCTAGTTTATCTGGCTCGTGGCAATTAATATAGATAATGTAGAATGTACACTTCACAGTCTCTCGTTATGTTTTCGCCATAAAGTGACATGCATATAAATGTGTGTGTACGTTATTATGTCCAGTACATAGACAGACAGTTCAAAGTTTGTGCCTAAGCACATTTTAGTCATCTAATTTTTTCCGAGTAATTGCTACTGTACAACAAACCTCTGACGTTTTAAACACCTTGATAAAAGTCACGTGATTAAATCCCATAAAGGTAATATGACCTTTCTTTACAATTCAAATAAAGTTATTTCGCTCCAGGTCAAGATCACAAGTGGGACAGTGTGTGTATTCAGATGGAGATTAATACAATATTCGACTGTTGTCATTTAAGGTCAGATAAAAAAATCCATTTGGATATCGATGTTTTAAATAATAACTACTTCCTAGTGTAATTCATACATACTACACAAATGAATTTGACCTGTGCCACATATCAGTCGCAATATAAATTATATTTATGCAGATGAAGATGGTAAGCTTTAAAATTCGTTTGCCAAAATGATATTTTTCAAACAAGATAATGTAGATATATGTTATTAGTTAATAATTTCATATTAAATGATTTTCTAGTTTCTTTTTGTATATACTTTGTATAAGGTAACGCCACTCATCAAAAATGTATGAGAGACAGAGAGAGAAACAGAGAGAGAGAATAAAGGAGAGTTTAAATCTAAAAGTGTATTAAACGTGAGTCTATCAGAATGGAGTATGTGATTATTTGCAGTGAAACATTTACTTATTTCAAATATGATTTTTTTCTTAAAATATATCTTTACATACATTACATTTGAAGTTTAAAAATATGTGTACATACGTGTATATATTGAAGCTGTTATATCTATATTTAGTTATCTGTATGTACAAACTTATAACCTGTGGCTAAGTTGAGTTATATAGCTTTGTGTTCAACTTTAACAAGCTATCGTACCCTGATCAAACAAGATGGCGTACCTTGATCAAACAAATCGGTACTACTAAGTTGGTTATGTCTAATTCTCTTGAATTTTGTAATGATGAACTAGAGTCGAGTTTTGTAATACTGTTCGTTTCAAGTTTTCATTTATATTTTGTGGTAGATATAAGTTATATATATATTCATGGTCAGGATTGTAAATTTACTCGTTTTATTGCACACTCGGGAAAGAATTCGAATCGTCACTTAGTTTGAGTCGTCCCGGATACTCCGTGTATCTGGTGATGAGACAGAAATCGATGACCTAGTTTAGAGCTGATGGATGAACAGCTGACGGAAATCGATTAGACTTGTCGCTCAATTACAGAGGTATTTACCTGAAATACAATAGTTACCTATCCTAGTTAACAGTATATAGGGAATGACAGATGTCAGTGAAGAATGGGTCGATTTGCCGGTAAATACTTAGATAAATTAGTGTTTTTAATGTTATCTTCTGGAATCTTTAATAAGTATTAGGATATATCTTGGATCCGAACATTATTACCTTTTTTCGATTATCAGGACAAATTGACCAGGATCCTTCGATTCCGGAAATAAGCTAGTCAGACAACTTATTTTTTCCTCTCTCAGAAATAATGCAGATATCGCCAGTGAAACAATATGACAAGTCTTACCGATGTGGTAACGAGGTATTGATAACAGCAATTTTATGTTATAGCTACGGTAATCAGCCTTCATTAGTGCATTTCCCCAAACGTTTACCCATCAAATGTAACATCGAGATAGTGCCTCTTCTTTAGTGCTGATTAAATAGTGTTTGATAAAGTATTCCAGGTTTCAATGGAACTAACTTTGCTTCTTATAGGAGCTGTTTCCTGGAACCTTGTAGATCAAGGGGAGGTAATCAAATATCATTATTGTAGGGACATTCTATTTTCCGGTCTGATTTGATATTCATTTTTTAGAACAAAGTGTTCGGACTAACAGGGTCGTGTAGAATGCGTATACACTACCTCACGTGAGCCGGAAGTCGTTATATCACTGATTAATGTGATCATGTGACAAAAATAACTGAAAAGTCCACAATATTTCATTACATTTCAACACTAATGACTAGACCAGTGTTTAAAAGTGCCGCTTCTACATCATATATGTATATATAACATTTGTATTATTTCAAAATCGTGATGTCTTTACCTATGCATGAAGTTCCATTATTTTGTATTGTTTTAACTTGAATGTGATTCTATCGAAAGTCGGGAGTGTTTCAGACTTTGGTTGGTAATATTATGCGTGTTCAAAGCAAACCAATATGCACGTGTTTCCGGAAATGAATGCGAAAATATGGGTTTGTATAAACAGATGTTTCAATAAGCTCTCTCGTCTCTCTCTAAGATACTATCTGTTTTAAGGGAGAAACAATGAAATTACTCAACCAATAGGATATTAATGGTTACCGGAAACACATGCATGTTACAGTTTTTGTATGTTTTGTTAGACGTAACAAAACTGTTATTTTTTCATATGAGCAATAACTACTGCCTTTTGTACTTTACACACGAGGAATGACATAATGATTATCGTCAGTGTTAGGATTTATAATGGTCACGTGATCAGTATTCAGGCCTTCGAACTGACCAGTACCACGTGTCATTTCCCTGTGTCCCATACAATCAATCCACTTTTCTTTCGGACATTTTCCGACAAGTTTTGTGGGGTAGGTACTTTAGGTAGATTTTTGTGCGCGTGAGTTTGTATGAATTAAGGATGAGGAGGTTGTGTTCCTCCAAATGTTTCCTTGTTTATTTACACCTATTGTTATTTTTCGCGCTCGGAAAATGACTTGGGTTTGTAAGTGATTACTATTTCATAATAATGTATATTAATATCATTGTTTAGCCCATACTCGTGTTAAAAAAGGTAACTGTACAGATATCCGTAACCATAGATCAATACCAATCGTTAAAACTATTCATATCAAGATAAAATTCTCCGTTATATAGCATATCTATAATTTATGTCAGGAATGGGTATATCAAACCGGCGTTGATTTCAGCCAATGATAAACCACGTTACTTGTTGGTTGACACGCTTGTGTTGTTGCTTATTATTGGCTGATATCATCGGAACCCATATTTGGCTGTAGTAGTAAGGAACTGCTTCAAACTGATCTATTCTCAGTAATATACGCCGGGATGACACATGCGCGGTCAAGGCCTAATTGCTCTGAATTTAAATAGGACACGCCAAATCAAATAAGATATTTAGGTCATCTCTTCTATAATGTTTTCTTTTCATGAGTTCAGGTTTTGCACTGTGTGTTTGTCAAAAAATATGAGCGAAGTTTTAAGCAGTTCCTTACAGCCATTACTTACCTGTCATATATACTAATTACTTTCATAGATTCAAAGGGGATACCTGTAGTAATAAAATATCTAAAGGTCATGCAAGTATAATGACCCGTGTTTATTTACATAAAGAATATATTACTGAGCGACTTGCTGTTTGTGACGTCGGTGTAATCAGATATATTCATTTTTCACATAGCCAAATAAACATATTATTTTTGAAGCAATTTGTTCTTTGTATTGTTTCCAGGTGTTCGTCTAGCTGTGTAATATGTAATATATATTTCATTGAGGTATGTAAGATAAAAAAGACATTTTTCTAACATTGTGTCATTTTATGATACGCATTTCACGGTTTATCTGTGACAGAGCAATGGATCCCTCAGAACTAGTAGTTGTTTTGTTTATAAAAACACATCACAGAAGTATGGGAATTACATTAGTAATCACTTCCGTGTAATGTAA